TTCAAGGAGCATCATCAGGTTGGTATACAGGACGGTTGGCCTTGACCGACACCAAGCCCTAGTCTCCAGCATGCACAGTAGACGGTGAGACCAAAACTCCCTTTTTACAATCTCTTCTGTACTTAAACTTCCCCTCCCAAATATCAGGCCCCCTCCCCGTTTCAATGGCAGCCAAAAGCAAATAGCAAAACAGAGGCTGACAAATGCAGTGTAGCATAATATGAACCAAGCACATCGAGAAGCCAAAAACAAACAAGCAAACAAAAAAATAAGTATATGCAGGGGAGGAATGGGGAAGAGGTGAAGGGAAAGAGAATAGATAATCCAATCTGGGAAAGAATGGAAAACAGAAAGATGAAAATATTCAAGAGTGTCACAGCTTTGTTCTTTTGAATTTAATTGAAATTGAAATTTTATTTTTTTACTGCAAGTCTATATAGTACTCTAGTATTTGAAACCTTACCTATCAGAGCCCATACCAAAATAACAACAACAAAAAGGTAAGTATCAGTGTGCTTAAATAAATCATTTGCTACTTCTAAATGTGCATCTCTGATTTATTCAGCCCGACATATTTTGAGCCCTTCCTCTGTAGTTAGAGTTAGTGTAGCCTCTGGCCAGCATTGTGCATTAAACTTCAGCAGAAAGCACTTTGCATTTTGAATGTTGCTGCCATCAAGCACCAAATGTTTCTGTGACAAACAGGATGGCCAGAAGGTTTTTCTGGCTATAATATCCACCATGCTGGCTGTTCCTTGAAAATAAAGATGTCATTCAAATGCAGGCAAGGCTTTGATGCCTGAAGAACATAACTGAATTGTAAGAATGGCACCAATCCTTCCTTTTATATCACAAGGAAATCAACATTTAAACATAAAAATGATCAAGGATTTCTGAAATTAAAAACTGTATGTTTTGTCTGTTGTAGAGATCATTGCAGAAGGACAAAAATAAACCAAGGAAACAACCCTGGATTGTTCTCTTAACATCTGCAGCATTTGCCTGAAGAAATGCCATTCTTAGTCAGCTGACAGGACTCTGTATGTCTAGCAGGATGTATTGACTCTCCTTCCCTGAAACAGAATTAAAAATAAAAGCTGTGTTATACTCTCTGATTCAAACCTTGAATGGGGACTCTCCATAATATTTTAGAAAATTTGCTGTTGGGCATCATTCAGTGTCTAGCATTTTGAGATGACACTGCTATCAGGCTAATGTGCCAAGTGGCTCAGCTGAAGCTTATGTGTCTAAAAGGAACCTCTCAAAGAAGGGCACCAAACCTACCTTCAGGTCTTGCCTGACCCAGCCTAAATTGCCTTTTTGTTCTGTTCACACAATGATCAGTATTATAGAAAATGTATTGGAAAAAGTTATCCCCAGAGTAAAAAATAAGGACAGTGATTTTTCAAAATAAAAGGTGTTTTTCATTGCTTCGGGTAACTCATTATCAATAGAGAAAAATAATTTATATCTCAATATTCTCTGCAGAATATCCATCCATCCACCCACCCATCCACCCACCCACCCATCCAATTGAAGCTATGTTTATATGAGTGTGTGCATATGGAACAAAACTGATAGGACAAAGTTCAAAATATTTACAAGTGTTGCAGCAGCAGAAACTCTAAAAAAATGTTCCTTGCTTTCCTGTTTTTCATCTTAAAACCAGTCTATCGGCCATCCAACTTACAGCAACATTGAGAAAGACAGAAAACAAGCATGATTTTCAAAATACTTCTCAAAAAATATTTTAAAAGGTCTCATCAGGGTTTCTTCTATGAAACAACAAAAACAGTACCTGAAAAAAATCAGCTTATTAGAACCAATTGTTAGAACATCTTGTATTTCACTATGAAAGCTCATAAAAAGTCAAAAGTCAAGAGAAGAAAATGTGATATAAATTGATCGCCATTGACAAATATAAATACTGTCTGTCTGTCTGTCTGTCTGTCTATCTATCTATCATCTATCATCTATCATCTATCATCTATCATCTATCATCTATCANTCTCCTTCTCTTTTTCTCTCTTCCTCCCTCCTCTCCTTCTCTTTCTCTCCCTTCCACCCACCTCTCCTTACCTCTTTCTTCTTCCCCTACCTCTCCTCCACATTTCTTCTTCCTCTCCTACTATCTCTCCTTCTCTCTCTCTCTCTCTTCCACCCTCCTTCTCTTTTTCTCTCTTCCTCCCTCCTCTCCTTCTCTTTCTCTCCCTTCCACCCACCTCTCCTTACTTCTTTCTTCTTCCCCTACCTCTCCTCCACATTTCTTCTTCCTCTCCTACTATCTCTCCTTCTCTCTCTCTCTCTCTTCCACCCTCCACTTCTTTCCTTTCCTTCGTCCCTCCATTCCCTACTTCTTTCCTCCCCTCTTTTCCTTCCTTCTTAGGAAGATAATTCATATCCATTGGATTGCTGGTCTACTTTTAAATTCTCCTCTTTATTTATCTAAAGGGATGCTGAGTGGCAAAATTTGCCCCCTGGATGCTTGTTCAAAATTGAAAGCAACGAACAATTGAGGAATATTCATTGCTTTAAACCATCGGCTTGTCGTAAGGCTAATTCAGTCGGTTGTTCCACTTCTTATTTTACACAGCCAGGTAGCCCGATTTGCAAAGGTGGTTTATTATATAGTTTATTCTGGAAAATATGGATATCGAATAAAATCCTGCTTACAGCCATAGACCAACATAAGAGAGTGGGGTGCAGCCAGGAAAAAGAAGAATAAGAGAGAGAGAGAGAGAGAATGAGAATTAAAATAAACATCTAAAAACGATGCTCAAAAGCTAGAAGGTACAAAAGATATATAAAAAGGGAGAATTTAAAAGAAGTGGTAGGAATATCAGATGAGTATAAGGGATGTGGGGGCTCAGTGGCTAACACCCAGAGCTTGTCGATCAGGAAGGTCGGCAGTTTGGCGGTTCGAATCCCCAGCACCGCATAACAGAGCGAGCTCCCGTGGCTTGTCCCAGCTTCTGCCAACCTAACAGTTCGAAAGCACGTAAAAAGTGCAAGTAGACAAATAGGAACCACCTTTGGTGGGAAGGGAACAGCGTTCCATGCTCCTTTGGCGTTGAGTCATGCCGGCTACATGACCATGGAGATGTCTTCGAACAGAGCTGGCTCTTCGGCTTTGAAACAGATGAGCACCGCCCCCTAGAGTCGGGAACGATTAGCACATATGTGCGAGGGGAACCTATATAGGGACCATCAAAAGTATTTGGAAGTTTATACTGGTAATCCTCGACTTACCACCAGAATTGAGCCCAGAATTATGGTTGTGTCATCAGGTGATCGATTAAGCAAACCCATTGTACCCAATGAGTGGGTGATTTGTAAGTAGCTCTGGGGAGGTGTGTTGTACTTGTGAATGGTCGTAAGTGGAGGATTGCTCGTACCAAATTACAAAGCACTCTTAACACAGCGAATGTGGTGTTTATGAGATGTAGTTGAAACCAGCCATAATTTGGTGCCCAGCCACCTCTTCCTCCTTCCTTGGTTGTGCAAAGCATGCCCAGCTACTATAACTTGGGTCAATCATGGTTAAGTATCAACTCATAAAGCATTGGCATGCCTGTTATCAAATTGCCATGATGAGGAAAGAGGGGGGGGGGAGTGCATTCCACACATGCCTTCGGCTAGAGTCAGGTCTCGGATTACTACAGCAGGATTGTGAGGTGTGCACCTTGTTGGAGAATGTGATTTATGACACAGACTGAGCGGAGGGGAGGAACAGGGGTAAAGGCTCAGCCATAATTCAAATGAGGTTAGATCTGACTGCAACGAGGCATTACCAAAATGGTGTTCCTAATAAATGACTGGTTTTCTTTCGAAACTTGGCTTGAGGCTCATGACTTAATTAGGGCATCTTTCGGAAACCTGACATTAAGAAGTCGTGGGTGAGTAGCCTGTCCTGTTCTTTCCTCTCTTGCAGGAGAAACTGAGCCATGATGTTGGTGTTAACCCTGGTCTAGGAGCTTCGAGTCTCTCCTTTCGATTCTGTTTTTACGATTCCTACCTCTCTACCTCATTCTGGAACCTGTTTTAAGATGCGTGCCTGGGCAGCTGTGGCCAGCACCCTCATCTTCATAGGGATGGACGTGACGTTGACCACCCTGTTGTATGAATACAACCGCCACAACAGGACTATCCTTCAGGACCTCAAGCACTTCAACATCTTCGACTCCATGCTGGATATTTGGGGGTCTTGCTTGTATCGCAGCTGCCTGCTCTTGGGGGCTTCCATCGGGGTGGCCAAAAACACCAGTTACGGTCCCAAGCGGTTGAAAGGATCCCGGATCTTTATCATCGTGGTCTGTTTGGCGATTGGGATTTACGCCCTGGTCAAGTTGCTTCTTTATTCTGAAGTGAGGAAGACCATCAAGGATCCTTGGTTTTGGGGTTTGTTCGCCTGGACTTACATCTCACTGGTGGCCACCTTCTCCTTCTGGCAACTGCTCTCCACGGTGACCCCTGCCAGGGATACCTTGGGGATCAATTCGGAATCCAGGGCCGAAGCAGAAGACATTGGAGACCCCAGTTCTCGTGGGGTTCGGGGAAAGAAAGAGGAGGCCTCAGCTGCCACCATTTGTAAACTCCTGTCCTACACCAGGCCAGATGTCCACTTCCTTGTGGTGGCCTTTTTCTTCCTCTTGCTAGCTGCTTTAGGTGAGTGATTTGGGGATAAAAATAGAATGACACGGAATGGAACGCTCCTTACTGTCATTGTGTTATGCCTGAAAGTTTGCGGCAGTAAAACTGGTAGTGTAGATGTTGGTTAAAATAACATTCACCAAACGTTTGGTGGTTTTGTGGGAAAGGTCTATATCAAATTGTAGGTTAATGTTAGCTAGAACCAGTTCAGCAAGTTCTGACCATTTCTGGTGAACTGGTAGCGGAAATTTTGAGTAGTTTGGAGAATTGGCAAATACCACCTCTGGCTGGCCCCGTCCCCATCTATTCTCTGCCTCCCGAGTCCCAGCTGATCTGGAGGGAATGGGGATTTTGCAGTAACCTTCCCCTGAAGTGGGGAAGGAATGGGGATTTTGCAATAACCTTCCCTGAAGTGTGGAGGGAATGGAGATTTTGCAGTAACTTTCCCCTGTAGTGGGGAGGGAATGGGGATTTTGCAGTATCCTTCCCCTGAAGTGGGGAAGGAATGGGGATTTTTCAATAACCTTCCCCTGAAGTGTGGAGGGAATGGAGATTTTGCAGTAACCTTCCCCTGTAGTGGGGAGGGGGGATTTTGCAGTATCCTTCCCCTGAAGTGGGGAAGGAATGGAGATTTTGCAGTATCCTTCCCCTGGAGTTGGGGGGGATGGAGGTTTTGCAGTATCCTTCCCCTGGAGTGG